GAGTAGTGTGTGTGTGTGTGTGTGTGTGTGTGTGTGTGTGTGTGTGTGTGTGTGTGTGTCGATGTAAAAAGAAATTTTGAATCGATCGATTTTTTGAGCTTCTGTCGCTATCGATATTTTCAGATATCATTCGTTGTCGACTCTTCAATATCCGAAAGTTTCTCATAACGAAATCTTTCTTAAATTTTCCCGAATTCGCCACGCGAATAATGTTGTCTTACTTTAATTTGACTCGAATAACGACGTTTACGTCGCGCTTTTAGAGACTCCACCACTCTAATTTTCCCAGCGTAATCGCGCGGCAGTTGATTACTTCGCGAATAATTGAGCTCTTCCTCCCTTTCCCTCCCTCTCGTGTTTCCTTCCTTACCATCGAGAAATTCGATACTTCGTATCGCCGTATCTAAATGCATTCCGTTCGCCGTCCGGTTGGCTATATCCTCGTCGGCACGGAGGAATAATCCCGTGGGATCCGAAATAATCCGAACGAGTTTCGCCGGCGTTTTAAGCCGGAGAAAACTTTCATCCGGTTAACCGCGCGTAAAGCCACGCTGGTTTTTCTATCTGCGAAAAGAAGGAACTTTTAAGGAACGTTCCAGCTGTGATTTCGGAACGAGGCTTAAAAGCATAGCGATTGTCAGAAAAACCATAGTACGTAAAACTGTAAAACTGTGTAACTGTAAAAACGTAACTTGTCCCGACTTCTGAATTCCTATTGATATTACTCGTCTGATATATGATTACATCTGTATGAGGTACGGAGGAATTTTCAGGGAGGAACATGGTAACGATGGGTACGTCGCGAGCGCGACATCTTTATGGTCGTTATGTTATCGCTCAGCGAGAAGCGAAGTCGCTATCGGGAGAACTCCGAGAGGACGTTTCTTCGCGCGTGGTTCGCGAATGATTAACGTTTCTCCGACGTCGCCTTTAAATTTCTACGCGCGGAAAAGAATCCGGCGAATAAACGATCCACTCGCTCGCTCTTCTCATATCTCCGAATGGCGCATCGTTCATCGTGCGCCGGCAGCTGATATCGGACTATTAGTACCGTCGATGGTACCACTATTAGTCCGCGCGATGGAGGCTCGCGTATCCCGGTGATGTTCTCTCTCTCTCTCTCTCTCTCTCTCCGAGCGGACGGATCCTTTTTCATGGAGCCGAGCCGAGAGGCTATCAGCTCTCGGTCCCACATAAGGCGAGGATGTGTCTCGAGCTTGCTCGTATTCGAGCGCGAGGAATCATTAATCGCGCCCCACTGGCATGATTAACATGGATTTTAGCTCTTCGATCGAGATCTAATCTTGATATTTTACATTAGCGAGAGTGAATTTATTTCCACGAGAGGGCATTGACCTATGGGTATCCTCTTATCGCGCGTTAAGTAGGCGTTAAGCCTTTCCAAAAACATTTTGTTAAAACGATCTAAAAATATCGTCGATATAAAATCGAGATTTTCTCCGAAACCGGAGGTTCTAATGCATTTGCAACGTCTGGAACAACGGAAGGAGAACAAGCAAGGCTACGTGAGGCGTTGGTTAAATATCAGACGTACACTAAACTCATTGAGATTCATCGAGAGAATGATGAAACGTACTTGGTTATATTTCATTTAGGCTGTTTGCTCATCTGAACGTTGGCAGCCCAGTTTGATTTACGTTGTGTTCTGATTACTCGCGATTACTCAATTGGCCAAGTCCTTAAGTACGTGTGTAGAGATGAGCGACGGCATCAAAGCGAGAAATGCAACGCGAATGCAACGCGAATACTCCGTGAAATTCGGAGAAGTTCAGAACTGCCGTGAGTCATGTCGAGTTCTCTATACGGGCGGTAGATTAATCTCATTTCCGTAGAAATTCTCTGCTCAATGAAGATGGAAGATTCCACATTTTTCGAGAACTCGAAAAACATGATTTCTATTCTTATCTATGATTTCTATGAGTGAACGTTCTTTCTTTATATATTCGCAAAAATTATTCATCTGCGATCGCGCGATTGTTTCTCAAATGCCATCCAAATTTCTAATTTTTAATGCTTCTCACAATGTATAAAAACGTGTAGTCAATCGTTTAAACGAAAAAACGTTTATAAAATTTCGAATTTCATAAACGTTTTTGCAAAAGACGTTTTAAAAAAAGAACGGTTTTGTTGAAGTATCTAAAAATTTGGCCAGATATAAAAAAGTAATTTTTTGGATAATAAAAATAATTATGTAAGGTCGTAAAGTCGTTTCAGGTTTCTACAATACCAAAAATTTTTGCAATATTATCATCATGCTTAAACGTAAATTATTTTTTATATCTGACCAAATTTTTAGATACTTCGGCAAAATTGTTCTTTCTCACGTTTATATATTTTAGAGATGTATATAATATATCTACACTGTAACTGCGCGCGTATAAATTAGAAATATTACAAGGCGATTTGATAATCTAGTGTCGGCTATAGTGATTCACCCGATAATAACTTTCGATGTACAAGAAGCTAACCAGGTGTTAACCGCAGCGCAGGAACGCGAGGAGAAGGCTGCGAGGAGTCGCCGGTCTTACAGACGCGATCGATTACTCTCCGCGCCAAAGAGCGAAAAGAATCCATAGCTTTTTCTCAGTCGGTCGTTGCGCCCAGTATGGATTAATGTAACGTAGGTAATGGCTCATTAACGAGAGCACGTTCCGATGCGTCCGAGTGAGCCGTAAGAGCCACTCTCGACCTTTGGGCCGCTATATAAATCTCGGGCCTGGTTTGCTCGCGCATTCCGCGAAACATCCTTTATACAGGGTGTCCGGGCTTCATCCTTTCCATCGATAGATCCATCGAAATTTAGAAAGAGAGAGATTCTTTCTGGAAAAAATTTAATTGAACGACACCTGCGTAGACGTGACGTTTGTAATAATTCCAAACGCGATCAGTCGTCGAATTAAGAATTCTGCAAAAACATATTTGCTAGCGATAAAGAAATAAATTTTCAATATTTCGAAGAAATAGGTACAGTTTTAAAATATCCCTTACAATTAAAATATTATCGATTAATATCCTTGTTGATAAAGAATCGACAGCGGAAGGATCGCTCGGAACCGGTCGATAGAAACCTGACAGTATTATTGGTTCACCCTGTGCACGTATACCGGATCGGAGTATCGTGCTCGATTTACTCGCTTCAATCATCGAACGCGCGCACTTCCTCGGCCAGCGAGGACCGCGGGAAAAAAAAAAAACACGGACTTCTGTATATTGCGCGTCCGGTAGTAGTCCGGCGGCTTCATCGGTTACCGAGAGACCGGCGCGTTAATTACTTTCGTGTTTCAGGGTGTGCAAACACGCGGCTGGATACGCGCTATTCACCGTGGGCGTGTGTGCGAAACGAGTAGACGCTTCAGTTAGCATGGAAACTCTGTTCCCCGCCTTCCTTTTACTTCCGTGGACGGTTCACGTTCATCTTTAACCCTTATTCCCGTTTCGAGATCATTTCCAGATAATCGCCGAAAGCGATATATCCAAAACGGATTTCGTATTTATGCTCATGCTAAGTACGCGAGAACACGCGAGCAAAGCTTCGCATTTTAAAAACTGTACATGCAAACGGTCGTAAGACCAATTTTCTCGATGTAAAAATGAATTTGATGAATTTGATGAATTTTTTTTTATAAAACACGAAATGTTATATTACTCGTACATATCTTCCTTAAATAATTACTAAATGCAACTTTAATCAATATAAATAAATAATCAAAAATAGTTAGAAATTCATCCAAATATGAATTATAGATTCAACGTAAATATCGAATACGTTTATATAGCTCCAATTTTTAATTTGTTTATAAATCTGCAAAATGTGATCTTGTACTGAATAAAAAAATATTCATCTCGTTTAGACGAATATTGAAGTTTAAAAATATCAATGTACTTACCATTATCCCATGCAGCTTCCTTAGTTCTAAGTAATGCAGCCAGTCCGATGTTGTCTTTGGGCATAACACGATTCAACATGTTATCCGAGCCCTCCGCATTTGCCATTGCCAATTGATTGAATTCAACTAAATGCTCCTTTATCAAAGAAAATCTGCAAAAGAAAGCAAAAAAAAATACATTGAAAATATATCGCTGTACTTTCTGAAAAATTAAATACGCGTATTCTTCTACGTTTGTGTTTAGATTTTGTGTTTAGATAGAAAATAAACTGCATTCGATCCAAGTATCCACATATAGGGAATGATCAACGGACTATCAAACAGGGGAGATAATTCAGGGTTAAAGGTTCGATTTGTCTCTCCTGTCGTCGCATCGAAGACCGCAGTGTCGATTGCTATTGCGAACGCGAACCGCGCGAAAGTGCCGGGAAAGGAATTCCCGGTCCTCCTTCAATCGGTCGTCCAACTCCCGATGGATGGCCACCGGGACTCAATTTCGTTTCGTGGAGACGTAGAGGAACTTGACACCCGGGCGCGCGATACGACTTGGCTACGACGACGGGACACGACAACGTCGTCGTCGTTCTCGATGCAGGGCGATTTTCGTCGCAGCCGGGAGGACCTCGTAAGCGAGGCGTATCACGTACGCGATGTAGAATACCCGGACTTCCTTTTCTGCCTCTCCCTGCTCTCTGCGTGGCCGATATGTAAGGCACGTATGTTTGAGAAATATATTCTTCTCCAAAGACCCATTATACGAGCTATCATTCCCCTTTGCCCGCGGCCAGTCTCTCCTTTCTCGTAAACAAGATTGAATCAACGTCATCCGCAGTGTCGCTTTAAGGGAGAAAGAGGATTTGGAGAGGACTGGCCAAAAATAAGAAAGAGGGTTGACAACGGATATCCAGCGGATTCCCAAATGCGTAATTGATTTCTCCCCGCTGTCTAGAACAATTCTCTGACTCGGTCTCGGGTCGTTATTAAAATTGAAAAGACGTCTCGCTTTAATACGAGAATCGCGAGGATATAGGAAAAAGATTCTGTATAGTTAAAATCCATAAGTATTATAACAGTTGTACGCGTTTATTTTTTTATCTGATTTTTTTTTTCTTTCACATTCTACGACAAAGCGAAATTAGCGCGCCAGAAAAACGCGTATCGTTTAACGGATTGTAGGATTTTACTGGCGTCGTTGCCGCGTGAAATGTTAAGCTCCCTCTTTGTCTCTCCCCCTTTCTTCTTTTTCCTTTTTTGAGCGGCACTTCGACATCGCGCCGTATAACTCGCGACGAGGCAATAAAGCCGGGAATGATCGAGGGGCGAGCGCCGAAGGCGGAAATTGAACGCGAGTTGAACTTTACGTTCATCGTGTGAGCGCTGATTTGGTTCGGTCGATTTGGTCGCGTTGTGCAGCTGGATTGAAATTGACGGCCGCGTCTTTACGAATCGTAAAAGCGACGATAAGCTCCTCCTGTTTCTTTCTCCTCGTCTTTCACCTCTGGCCGGTCCAGCGAGACGGAGAAGAAAAGAAGATACACGAAGAGAAAGCATTGTTAGTTTGCTAGTTGCGCGGCGGTCTCGCGTCGCAGTAGTACAAACCATTTTTGGTCAGACTAACGTAACGGTCATTATACAATCGTAAATTCTTTCATACGCGACGATGATTTCTTACGACTTCACGGTAAACCCTCTATTAGAATATTTAAAAAAAATTTATTTAGAATACATTTGTTGAATTTTATCGTATCTCAGTATTTAGTCATTTCAATATTTAACCCGAGTTACAAATTCTACCTAAATTTCCTAACTGAATATATGACACATTTAATACTGTTAAACGATACGATAGTTAAAATGGTTTGCAGCCTATCGCAGAAGGGCGGGTGGGCCAGAGGGAGGACTTGTTCGCCATCGACCTTAATATTGTCACGCAGAGAGACATTTACTTCGCCCATCGACTATTTACGACGGTGAGTTATAAAGGGAATCGTTACATGCGTTACATGCGATATATGCATACGAGCGCATTAATCGCACCCCGATAGCCCCGAGGCCGGCATTGCGGACGCGCGATATCGCGGAGAACCTGCCATTATGCCATGAGATACTCTGAAAATAAGCATTAGTCGAAATAGATATCAGAAGCAGAGATAAAGAGAGAGAGAGAGAGAGAGAGAGAGAGAGAGAGAGACGA